TGTGGCAAATATTTTCTAGAACAAATTAAAAAAAATACTTTAAAGTCCGTACTGATTTCAAGCGGCTTCCCAAATGTATAGAAAAATTGCTTTCTGCTTTCTAAATCCACATGCCTTCTCCTGTGATTACATTATGATAACATGCTGTGTCTTAGTTCCTGTTGCAAGCCAAATGGTGAGGCCACATGGCCTCAATAGCCATGCCATAAACCCACATTCTTTCACACCTTCATGCCAAAAGCCAGACCTCATGGCTCCACTTCCTGGCCCACATGCGACAAGTCACAGTACACAATGAAGTAGCTGGAGTTTGGGGTCACATGATTGCAGGCGGGGTCTCCAAACTCCTAGCCAATCTATACACACACCTTATGTGCAGCTACAGCAACCTGAAATTGGCCACACACCCTTGCTGCTTGTGATTAGCCGAATGGCCAGGGTTAATCATGATTAGATTGGGGTATAATTGTTTGATCCCTATGGGAGTGATTCTTCTTGTTCTCAAGCCTCTTGTTCTATTCGCTCTGAGGCTCTTGCTGCCTGTTTTATTGCACCTGAAATGCTGTCTCTTGGAAAACAAAGACCTGCTTGGTGACTTGGAGCACATGGGTGTGCAAAGATGGGATTTCCCTTCAAAATCCCTTGGACTATTCTGGACTGTTGGATGTTCCTGAATTGGTAACTATGTATCTTTAATGTGTAGTTAAGGCAAAGAGCCATAGGTTTTTCTTGTTTTCAGTAATCTCTTATAGTCTGTTGCTATGCTTTGTACTGAATAAAGATCCTTCTTATTGCTAATTTGTCTCTGATGTAGTAACTTGAATTCCAAGTCTAAGTCTTGTGCCTTACACTAACCACATACACTACCAGTGGAGGGTAAAAAGCGTGCATCTCTGGATTGAGTTGCTAATGTGTTCTGTCCCAGATGCGAACTAAGGGCTGAATCTCTCTCTTAGGAAAAGCAGGGACTATTGAAAAGAGATTCTGGTGGCAAATTGTTCTGAAACCAGAGAGGGTATACACCATCTTGTGGTTTGTTGTTTAATGTACTGAAAAGTATGGGATTCCCTCTCATCCCTGGACTGGCCTGGGTGGGCTAATCCTGTACACCAACCCCCCTCCTTTTTCCCTTTACTACTTAGGTAGAGAGGAGGATGAAAAACTACATTTTTGGTGTCTTCACAAGTGCAGCATTTTATTCTACAATGGGGCAACGGAGGCCCATTCTGCATCTAGCATTCGCTCCGCTGTTTTACCAAACCCACACTGGAACAGAAAAAGATGTGGCTCAAAACCACATTCAGATACCTGAGGCCAAAACCGTACTGACTGCAAAGTCACCCCAGAATGGCCATAAAGCTATGCAGACGGTACCAAAAAACTGAGAGATCAAACGAAGTGAAAGCAGCATGCAGTCTAGACACTGCCATAAAATCCGACAATCAAAGTGAAAGTGGCATGCAATGTAGAGGGGAATTTCTGTTCCAATGTGGGTTTGTTAAAACAGCGGAGCGAATGCTAGATGCAGAATCTCCATGAGACAGATCTGCAGGGGTCATTTCCTGCAGGAGTGCACAGGAACGGAGCTCTGGCAGTAAAGAGCCCAGGGGGCGGTCACATGCAACAAGCCCCGCCCCCTGCTCCCAGCAGCCCTCAGTCAGAGCAAGAAGCAGCTAGGTAAGTTGCAGAGCCCCCCGGGTCCAAAACAGTCCAGTGGCACCTTTAAGACCAAGTTTTATTCAGGTACAAGCTCTCCCTCCTCTGCGAGGACAGATCTGCACGTCCCCCCCCCAATAGCTAGCAATCCAAAACAGTCCAGTGGAGCCTGAGCGGTGGGTGTTGCCTTCTGACACACTTCCAGTGATGTCAGGGGGTGTGGCATATGCAAATGAGTTATGCTAATGAGTTATGCTAATGAGCTCCTGCACCTCTTTTTCTAAGAAATGACCCCTGCAGATCTGTAAAAGTTTCAACAACAGTTCTGCAAAAGTACATATAAAAGGAGTCCACTATGCTCCCAACCTTTCAGCTCAGGCAAGGTAACCAAAGACTTGAACTTGGGCATTTGAGCATTCTGCTAATCACAGTAGCAGCATTCTACCAATCATGGCAGCTGTAACGCTCAATACGTGCTTGGGCTTCCCCCTTTAAAACATCAGGATCCGATTGGCCCAAAGGAAAAAAAAATCTCCACCCTGATTGGCTGTTCTACCAATAACTACAGGAACATCTTCACTAAGGCTTTTGTCGGGAGAGCAGCTATTTATTAGTGTTTCTGGGCAAAGAAAACTGTCCCCTTGCCTCTAGTTGGTAAACTCAAACTGTGTTTTCTGCAATTTTGTCCTGCCGTCTTACCTTCCAAAGGCCCGATCCACTCTGCCTGCTGTTCAGAGCTGTCAATGCACTCAAATAGTGCATATGGGGTACCATGTTTGAACTCAATGCCCAATGAAGTCATGTTTTTTTCCTGGTGATCCCTCTGATTTGATTTGACAATGCAAGAGAATAACAAAACTACTCGGTGGGTCAGACACATGCTGTTATATTCCATTCACACTATGTTTCACAAAATGGCATTAATAGGAAGTATAAACGCAATACAGATCTGTGAGCACTGAAGCAAAAGAATTTGCACCCTCCAATAAAGGGAAATAGTGCAAACATTTCTGTTTGAGAGAATCTGTACAAATGGTAACCAAAAAACATACATGTTCGCGTTCAGACCATAAATGCATTAGAGATACTCTGCAATATAAATAAAGTTTTTCTAGAACAAGGATGGCTAACTGAAGAAGCAGCAGGCATACAGGAACAAGCATATCCTGGCAAATGCTGAAGTCTACAATACACATTTATAAAAACAAGTTTCAATTAAACACATTGGCACTGGTAGAATTTTTCTTTGCAAGCTGGGCATGCGACACTTGGAACAGGAGCTCTAGACCAGTGGTTCCCAAACTTACTGGTATGCTGACCTCCAAGTACAAATTTAGAAGAAGAGATTGGATTTATACCCCACCCTTCACAACCCGAAGGAGTCTCAGAGCGACTTACAATCCCCTTCCCTTCCCTACAACAGACACCCTGTGAGGTAGGCGGGGCTGAGAGAGCTCTCTCGAGGACTGCCCTTGAGAGAACAGCTCTGAGAGAACTTATGACTGATCCAAGGTCACTCCAGCAGCTGCATGTGAAGGAGTGGGGAATCAAACCCGGTCCTCCCAGATTAGAGTCCATGCTCTTAACCACTACCCCAAACTGGCTCTCTTGGTATGGTGACCCCATCCAGGGCCAGCCCAGGGCCTTTTGGCACCCGAGGGAACCGATGACCTTGTCACCCATCTAGTCCAGCATTCCATTTTGTACAATGGCCAACTAGATGTTGAGGACCCCGCAGCCATTGCATTAAGGGTGCAGTCCCCCCCCCGTGCAAGCGGTATTCAATTTCCCCCCGCCTTCCAGTGACTATCATAAAGTTGCTAGTTGCAGGACAGATTTCCTCCCACCATCATCACAAAGGGAGGTGGAAGGTGACAATATGAGGTGTTGATGAGGAGGACAAGGACAGAAAGAATGAGGCAAACGGCAGGAGCGGCCATTAGGGAGGGCCGGCCCATGACTCTACTTTCAGAGGCTTCAAATGCCACTTTTGAGTCTCGACCCAAAGGTTGGGAAACACTGCTCTAGACTTCTGGGATGCAAGGCTAGGAAGAGAATGAAGGAAAATCCACCTGAGCATTGAACATACAGGGCAGGGCGGGGGGGAGACTCAGTGTGTCATGATAACCTTCCAAAAACGTTAGCATTATTTGTCCATTCATTTCATGAACTGACTGTATACGATACAGAGCTAGTCCATACATAAGAATGTAAGAAATGCCACTGAGCACTCTCTTCTGGTTAAACACAGGTAAATCACTTTCAAGCCATGGCCTCCCACAAATGTTCTGAATCCAGAGATCTATTGGCTCTAATTCTGCTTTCAAGCATGGATGCCTTTCCACCCTCCAAAGCATTGCTCCAATTAAAATCAGACTGATAAATATGCTCTTCGAGTGTTAAAAGGAATCCATTAATTTAACAGCTGTCACAACTGAGCAATTTTGGCTCCAATGTTTATGTCCCAGCCTTTTCACTAGAAGAGAAAAACCTCCTCTGAAGATACTCCTCCATTCTCTGCCACCACAACACGGAATAGCCTTGGGGGTGTTCCTTAGCTGCCCTCCCATTCCTTAAAAGGTAAAGGTTCCCTTGCTCGAAAGCCAGTCGAATCCGACTCTAGGGTTGCGGTGCTCATCTCCGTTTCAAAGCCGAAGAGCCAGCGCTGTCCGAAGACGTTTCCGTGGTCATGTGGCCGGCATGACTAAACACCAAGGTGCACGGAACGCTGTTACCTTCCCACCGAAGTGGTACCTATTTATCTACTTGCAATTTCTTGCTTTTGAACTGCTAGGTTGGCAGGAGCTCTAATAATTAACTTGGCCATAAAATGTGTTCAGGTTTAGAGATGAAAAGTGCTGTTTAAAAGCCAGAGCTAGGAACTTATATGAACAGGATAGATAGAAAACCTGCCAACTCCCATTAAGTACTTTTTAAAAACAGAAAGGCAATGGTCCAAATAGTCCATTTAGACTAGCGTAGGAACCCTTCACCCAGTCTGCACAGATATCGGCACGAGGGTGGAAGCAATCCAGCCAACACTGCTACTGAGCACTCTCCATGTATTGCAAAGAGGCTCATGCAGGCGTTCTGCACAATCCCACAGAAATTAAGAGACTGCTTCCCTGCTACGCTATCAACGGCTACCAGCCATGGTGACTGAGGGGAACCTCCACATTCAGAGGCACTAAACCTCTGAATCCCAGATCCCGGAGGCAACATCAGGGGAAGGCCTCAGCCTCTATTGGCCCTACCAGAGGAACTGGTTGGCCCTACCAGAGGAACTGGTTGGCCACTATGTGAGACAGGATGCTGGACTAGACGGACCATTGGTCTGATCCAGCATGGCTCTTCTTATGTTCTTATGTTTCACGGGCCGCAAACTGAGTTAACTATTAGCCACAAGCACTGCAGGATTTATGACTTTATAGCTGCCTCTCTGCATTTTCCTGTGCTGCGAGGTACAAAGCACATCTGCAAAGGTTTTTATTTCCTCCTCCAACCAGTTGGTTAGCACCAAGAAAAAAAAAATTGCCTGATAGCAACAATGTTCTTTATCATTCTGCTTTATAATACTATCAGTAGCCAGGGCCAAAAGTCACTCCATAACCTAGGCAATTGAAAAAAAACTAGAGAAATAAATAACAATTCTCCCAGCCTGTCGACAAATAGAATCAAGACATGGGCTTATCTGCATATCAACATTTTAGAAAAATATAAATTTATTCCAAACACCGTTTTGTTTTTGTTTTTTTTGGAATTCCACTCTGATTTGCTGGACAAATGGTATAACCATTTTGATCATCTGCACCGTTATGCGAAACTGACGGGATGCTACAGAGACAATTCTTCTCTTCCAGTACTATAGTTTCCATCTTCTCAAAGCCAGGGTTGTGCTGCACCCATAACATACAGTGGTTACAAAGGCAAAAATCTGCAGAGAAAAGAGAAGGAAAAAGCTTTCATACCAGATTAATTAATTGATTAGGACATTTCTATGGTGCTTTTCTCCCCAAAGGGACCCAACCCAGCTTAAAGATGTTTCTAGACCAACTCATCTAAACTATATAATCTAAACAAAAACCAACCAACAAACAAAACAAACATATCCTGGGCAAGTTAAAGGCCCAGCTAGTTTGGCTTTTACCCAAAGGCTCACACCTCTGGTTACACCCAGGCTTAAATACCTGCAAGGAGAGGAGAAAACAAAGTCAGCCTAGGTTATACTGGTTTTTCAGAGGACTGATGTTATCATCCCTGTGTCACAACCGTAAGAGAGCTGGCAGGTCGGCTATTACTACGGAGAAATTACAAAGCTTAGCGACTGAGGCCCGAAGGATTCGACTCATGCGATCCTGGAGTGTATCAACAGAGGCATAACATCCAAATCGCAAGATGCGATAGTCCCACTGTACACTGCATTGGTCAGGCCATACCTGGAGTATTGTGTGCAGTTCTCGAGGCCTCACTTCAAAAAGGATGTGGACAGAATGGAGCAGGGGCAGAGGAGGGTGATGAGGATGATCGGGGGCCTGGAGACCAAGCCCCGTGAGGAAAGGCTGAGGGACTTGGGAATGTTCGGTCTGGAGAACAGGAGGTTGAGGGGGGACATGATTGCTCTCTGGAAGTATTTGAAGGGCTGTCACTTAGAGGAGGGCAGGGAGCTTTCCTGTTGGCAACAGAGGAGAGGACTCGCAATAATGGGTTTCAATTAAGGGCAGGAAGGTACCAGCTGGATATTCGAAAAACTTCTTTACAGTCAGAGTTGTACAACAGTGGAATCAACTGCCTAGGGAGGCAGTGACCTCACTGGCCGTCTTTAAGCAGCAGCTGGACAAACCCTTGTCAGGGATGCTCTAGGCTGATCCTGCATTGAGCAGGGAGTTGGACTAGATGGCCTGTATGGCCCCTTCCAACTCTGTGATTCTAGGATTACCATTTTTTCTGTCATGGACCAAGCCCGGCTTCCTCCCGCCATCACAGTTCATTGGACAAGACGTACTTATAAAGGAGTTAAAAAAGACTAAGTCTGGTTCAAAATAGGTGCAAAACTGCTTTGGGAACAGCATGGGGAGGGAGTCTCATCACAGATTCACATAGGGTTGCCAGGTCCCTATTGTTTTCCAGTAGTGGGGAGAAGCTGCCGCTCCAGGATCTTTGTTCATGTGCACAGCGTGCATGCACTGTGATGACGTCACCCAGAAGTGATGTCATCACACTAGGCATGTTGCCGGGGGGGGGACACTCTAGCATTCGACCAAAAACTCTATGATACCATAGAGTTTTCAGGCTGAATGTTAGAGCGTCCCCCCGGCAACGTGCCTGGTGCGATCCAGGTGTTTTGGGAGCCTGCATCTGGCTGGTGGGTTGGCAGCCCCTAAACTTTGCAAACCTCTGCCCCCCCCTGGGGGATCTGGCAGCCCTAGATTTACATGTCCCGGGGAATTCTTCCACTGGGGGCAGAACACAGGGTTTGTTGAAGAGGAAAGTGCCTGCCGTGTAAATATGACTCCAGGAGAAGCTGGAAGAGGACAAAACAAGGCTTGCAGGACCCACGAGGGAAATGAGAGAGTTCAAGAAGAGCTGCTCCAAAAGAAGGAAGCAGAAAGAAGAGCTAGAACTAACAGAATGACACGGGTCACAGAAGATCATATGATCAACAACATGGACAGCAAGTCTGTAATGCAAGCGCCCCGGCTGACAGAGAAAGCGGTTGCTTGCCATGAGCATAAATAGGAGCGCAAACAGGACCGGCAATGGAGAGCCAGTGTGGTATAGTCATTAGTGATGGGGAAACCCAGTTCAAATCCCTGCTTACCAAGAAACTCACAAGCTCAATTTGGGCCAGTCTATTCTCTCCCATTCTGACCTCACTCAGGGCTTAACTAGACATGGTACTTGTCATGGGCTGTCCATGGGGACTGGCCGCCATATGCCAGCTGTTGATCCCCAAGGTGAATTTCCTCTAAACGTGCTGCAGGGCCCCAATTCGGGTTGGGATGACAATGCAGTGAGAGGAGGGGCTTCTGTTTCCCTCCAGTGCCATTTGCCTGGCCCATAACAGTGACAGAAGTGTGACCGGCAACTGGCGTATGCTTGACAGTCCCCATGGAGAACATGTGGGCATGTCCACTTTAGCCCGCACAGGGTCCTTGTGAAGATAAGATGGACAAGGAGAAAACCATTTCATTGCTTCAGGCTCCTTGGAGGAAGGGCAAGATAAAAGTGTAACCAACCAAATTAGGGTTGGCTATTTGCCCAATCCAAAAATTGGCAAGCATATTAAAGCATTAACTTGAATCAACAAAGGTTGGTACATTGGCTGTTTAGAAAAACAAATTAATTAACAACTTATGAAACAGTGAAATTAACTCTTTAAAAAACTGTAATGAGCAATGCTCCCTCTAAGCTGTGGAGTCTTGTGAGCAAAAATTCTACTTTGTGAGCTACTGACATTAAAGGTGTGAGCGAGTGATTTGGCTACTGCATAAATTAGTTTGCCCTGGAGCTATCCTTCCTGAGCTAAGACAAAAGTGTGTGAGCCAGAGGTTAAAAAAAAACTAGCTCACACTAAGTCAGCTTAGAGGGAACACCTGTAACGCGCTGTTGTGACAATGTTAGGCAAAGGTTTCTCTAAATGTGAACAATTCAGTGAGGAGTTTTCTCCTTGGCTTTGATTTTAGCATACCAGAGTGAGCCTACATATTTTTAAAAAATAAAATTAAGACTGAAAAATGATAATGGAACAGCAGCTCTTAAGAAACAACTTTCTGTTTTGGTTTTCAGATATGTTTCTGCTAAGCAAGATCTCATCAGATCTTTGGAAGGTAAGCAGGGTTGGTACTTGGATGGGAGGCCACCAAGGAAGACTTTGCTAAGGAAGGCAATGGCAAATCACCTCTGCTGCTTTTCGTTTGCCTTGAAAAACCCCTTGCTGGGGTTTGCCATACACCAGCTGCAACTGTAAGCACCTGGCCAATTCTTCCTGTTTGGAGATGACTGCACAGGATACTGGCAGCAGAAGAAACTCTACTAGACTACTTGGAGTGTTGGGGAGGGATACCCGTTATCTGCCCTTGCTAACAAATGACAGTGTCCTGAAACACTGGCAAATCATGGCCACTATTTGCTTTATGGAATATCTGACCATGTTCAGAAAGTCCATCGGATAGCAATGCTAACTCTAGCAGGCGTTCGGGCTGGCAGCCCACCCTTCTTTTTGCCCTGTTATCCTTATATACTTCACTTTAAGCATGCCTTTGTTGCTGAGACTCCAGTCGGATTACAAAACATGAGAAACAGTTCAATTAAACAGCAAAGCCCTCCAGTAAACAATGTAGTAGGACTTCGACAGCGGAACTAGAAAAACAGTACAAATGAAGAAGAAGAAGAGATTGGATTTATACCCCGCCCTTCATTTGGAGTCTCAGAGCGGCTTACAAACTCCTTTCCCTTCCCCTCCCCACAACAGACACCCTCTGAGGTGGGTGGGGCTGAGAGAACTCTGACACAAACTGCTCTTTTTCAAGGACAGCTGTGCCAGAGCTTGTGACTGACCCAAGGTCACATCAGCAGGTGCAAGTGGAGGAGTGGGGAATCAAACCCGGTTCTCCCAGATTAGAGTCCACACACTTAACCACTACACCAAACTGGCTCTCAGTTTGTCTAAATGCAGTGGTCTAAATGGCAGGACATGCCATTAGGGTTGACAGGCCTTCCGCTGTGATGGAACCAATCGCCTATGATGCCCACTGTCACTCTGAAGGAGATTTTTAAACACTAGCATCCTCTGCACATAGTGACACCGGCGACATCATTATCACACGCCCCCCATTCCTCAGCTCCCAAGTCCTCCTGCTGGCTGATGTAGGATTGCCGGCCCTGGGTTGGGGGAGGAGCCTAAGGAGGGTGAGGTTTGGAAAGGGGAGGGACTTCAACGGTGTATAATGCCACAGAGTCCACCTTCCAAAGTGGCCCTTTTCTCCAGGTGAACTGATCCCTGTCACCTGGAGATCAGAGAGGACACTGCAGTACAATACAGTGCTATAGACGTGACCCTCCTGTGCGATTCCATTTCACTGCAGTTCCAATTGCACTGTAAAAATGGCCTCCTGAACATCCAGACTGCTTGTGGCTACAGTGCATGAGTGCTCCCCTCGTCACACTTGCAAAAGCAGACCGGCCACCACGCACACATTAAGGCTTCCCTCATCACACTTGCAAGAGCAGACCGGCCACCGCTAATCAAAAGCACCAAACGTGGAAGAAGCAAAAGGACAGAGGAACAGGCTCTTCAGTTCGGAAAGGGACCTACTGGAAACCTTGGCCACACACCAGCTGGTTCCGCGTGGAAAGGGGCCCGCATAATACTTACAGCAGCTGCTATGCTCAAGTTATATTCGTGCTCGTTTAGAAGTGTCTGATGGATGGTAGTGTTGCGTTGGATGTCGAAATAGAACTTAAGCGGATGGCCGTGCAAAGACGTCGTGGCGGCTTGCAACAAAAACGTCCCGAAATAACAGACAAAAACGGCTGCGTGGTACAGGAAATCCTGAGAAGGGAAAAAAAAAGAATAAAACAGAGATGAAAGAACTTTGCCTTTGCTCAAGTTTTATCAACCAACAAAGTGGCCTGCAATATGTAGAAACATAAAGCTGGAAGGAACCCCAAGGGTCATCTAGTCCAACCTCCTGCACAGCACAGGAGATCCACAGCTATGCCCCCCCTCTCCCAGTGACTCTGGCTCTATGCTCATGTGCGGGTGTGTTTTGAATTTGTTACAGCTGGTCTTGCATTAGGTGTGCCAGCTCTGGGTTAGGAAATTCCTGAAAATTTGGGGGTGGAGCTTGGGGTAGGCAGGGTTTAGGAAGGGGAGGAACCTCAGTGGGATGTAACGCCAGAGCCCACCCTTCAAAGCAGCCATTTTCTCTAGGGTAACTGCTCTCTGTCATCTGTCATTCCAGGAGATCTCCAGCGCCCGCCCCCCCAGGTTGGCAACCACATCTCCCATCTAGGCACTGACTGAAATGCAAGCATATTAAGCGCTGTGGCTTCATGTCTCCACCGGGGCTGGTTCAGCACCCTACTGACTCAAGAGGCTGCTTGGGGCACCGCCATTTATGGAGGGAAGTGGTGCCGGAAAGAAGCATTAGGTGTGGCTTGCACCCGTCGCCACGCTGGCCCTGCCCTTGCTTGGGTGGAAGGTACGATCCACTCATCTTGTTCTCAGTCACAGAAACAGGAATAGGCAGCAACAGACATATAAGCATCTCCCTACTCAGCACAGCGAAAATACAGTGATCTGTACCGCGTGCATCAAATCAAGCCTGAATTCTCCCTAGCAGCAAAAATGACTAAAGTGAGGCTATCATACTGGTCACATCATGAGAAGACAAAGAGTCACTGAAAAAGACCATCATGCTGGGAAAAGTGGAAGGCAAAAGGAAAAGAGGAAGACCCAAGATGAGATGGGTTGACTCAAGCAAGGAAGCCACGGCCTTCAGTTTGCAAGACCTAAGCAGGCTGTCAATGATAGGATGTTTTGGAGGTTATTAATTCATTGGGTCGCTGTAAGTTGGAAGCCAACTGATGGCACATAACGTACACCTATCATGTGCTTGCCAAATACATCCTGGGACCCATGTGTCATGTGAAACCAGGTTCAACTTGCAGACAATCATTCAAATCTACTTTCGTCACGATAAATGTGGGTTTATTTATTTATTTATTACTTTCAATTTATATCCCGCCTTGCCGGTGCAGCACTGGCTCAAGGCGGCTTACACAATTAAAATGCAATAAAACAAATAAATACAGTAAAAATTCACAATCAAAAGACAATGACATAAGGTGCTAATATATACAGATGGTGGCGATATACGGATATCTACACATGGTCCGATGAGGAAAGGCCATATCCAGCGTAGTAATATAGGGCCATGGCATGCTCAATTTATGATGGTTCATTTGCTCAATTTACGATGGTTCATTCATCAGTGGCGGCTCCTAATCAAAGGCCTGGTGGAAGAGCTCCATTTTACAGGCCCTGTGGAACTGTAAAAGGTCCCGCAGGGCCCTGATGTCCTCCGGGAGCTCATTCCACCAGTGTGGGGCCGCCACTGAAGATGCCCTAGCCCTCGTAGTGGCCAATCTGGCATCTTTCAGGCCAGGGAGAGTCAGACAATTTTGTGACCCTGACCTCAGGGCTCTCTGGGGCACATATGGAGAAAGGCGGTCCCTCAGGTAGGCAGTCCCCCGACCATATAGGGCTTTAAAGGACAAAAACAGCACCTTGAAACGAATCTGGTATGCTATTGGCAGCCAGTGCAATGCCTTCAGCGCAGGCTGGATGTGATCTCGTATGGAAAGACCCATCAACAGCCTGGCTGCTGCATTTTGCACCAACTGCAGCTTCTGGATTTGGACAAGGGCAGCCCCATGTAGAGAGCGTTGCAGTAGTCTAACCTCGAGGTGCGTTTGAGGAAGAGAACCAACTGCCTGATCAGCTGTAGATGATAAAAGGCTGACTTGGCAGTGGCTGCTACCTGGGCCTCCACTGTTAAGGCAGCGTCCAGGAGCACTCCCGGACTCCTGACCCTTGGCGCTGGCACCAGTGGCATCCCATCGAAGGTTGATAGTGGGATCCCTACCCCCGAGCCGCTCCAACTCAGGTGCAGGACCTCCGTCTTCGTTGCATTCAATTTCAATCGGCTCAGCCGAAGCCAGCCCACCACATCCCGCTCCAGGTCATCTGGGGTAGAGTTGGACTGGCTGCCCAACAACAGATATAGCTGGGTGTCGTCTGCGTATTGGTGACACCCTAGCCTGTGCCTCTGGGCAATCTCCTTTGCTCTTTTCCCCACCTCCCCTATATAGCAACAAGGGTGTTAACTGGGGAACAGGCCAGGATGAAAGTCAAAATGTTTGCATTTTTACATCAGGTGGAACAGCGGTTGAGATTCACCACAGCAAAGGAACCAGCTGCAACGACGATTTCATATTCCAGCTTGACATACCTTTAATAACTGCGGTTAGTGGCGAGGCCTATCTTCGGATGGCCACACTAACCACAATTAGTTTAATGAACACTTTGATTTTGTTTGATATCTTAACTAGGCTATCCTCCAGATTATGTTTCCCACACCCTACACCCTTGGCGGGGGGGGGGAGGCACTACACCGGCAGATGAAAGCCAACTCATGAATCACATGATTAACTTACAGAAGTCATTGTCACTGGCTATTTGTGTGTTTGCCCTGACCTGGATGTCCCAGGACAGCCCGATCCCGTAAGTCAGATCTCGGAAGCTAAGCAGGGTCGGCCTTGGCTAGTACTTAGATGGGAGACATCCAAGGAATATGTGGAGGCAGGCAATGGCAAACCACCTCTGAATATCTTGAAAACTTACACAGAGGTGTCAAACTCATTTGTTACAAGGGCCAGATCTGACATAAATGTTACTTGGCCGGGCCATGTGTGCCATAAAATGTAGTGCCAGGTACTGGAGATATAAACTTTACAAAGGATACAGGCAAAACTAATTGAAACATTACTTTTTACTCAAAATACAAACAAACGCAATTGATTCCTAACTGTGAAAGCAAGTGATTTACCGGGGAGCCCACAAAAGCCACAATAAATGTATCAAATCATATGCAAGACTAGGTTTTTTCCAAGGGATATCATAAAGGGGGGAGTACCTTACATACATACCAGTTGCCTGTGAGCCGGGTAAGAGCCCTGGATGGGCCGGTTCTGTCCCCCAGGCTTTCTGATTGACACTTCTGCCCTACAGGATCGCCCTAAGTCAGCTGTGACTTGAGGGCACCTTCCACCACCACCATTTGTGTGATCGCTGACATAGATGTGTTGGAAAGAAAGAGTTCAGGGTAAACAAGGCTATGCCGTTGTTATCCTCACAACCACCCAGTAAAGCAAGGCTGTAAAGGAGGAGGAGGAGGAGGAAAAGGAGGAAGAGGAGAAGGAGGATAAGGAAGAAGAAAAAGAGGAGGAGAAGGAGGAGAAGGAAGAAGAAAAAGAGGAGGCGGAGGAGATTGGATTCACTCGGAGTCTCAGAGCGGCTTACAAACTCCTTTCCCTTCCCCTCCCCACAACAGACACCCTGTGAGGTAGGTGGGGCTGAGAGAGCTCTGACAGAAACTGCTCTGACAGAAACAGAGAGCCAGTTTGGTGTAGTGGTTAAGTGCGCGGACTCTAATCTGGGAGAACCGGGTTTGATTCCCCACTCCTCCACTTGCACCTGCTGATGTGACCTTGGGTCAGTCACAAGTTCTGGCACAGCTGTCCTTGAAAAAGAGCAGTTTGTGTCAGAGTTCTCTCAGCCTCACCCACCTCACAGGGTGTCTGTTGTGGGGAGGGGAAGGGAGAGGCGTTTGTAAGCTGCTCTGAGACTCCAAGTGAAGGGCGGGGTATAAATCCAATCTCTTCTTCTCTTCTTCTTCTCTTTTCAAGAACACCTCTGACAGAACTATGGTTTGCCCAAGGTCATCCAGCAACTGTGAGTGGAGGAGTGGGAAATCAAACCCGGTTCTCCCAGATTAGAGTCCGCGCACTTAACCAAAACTGGCTCTTGAGTGATCCACCCAAGGCTATTCAGTAAGCTTCAGAACTGCACAGGTATTTTGAACCCAGGCCCCCTTAGGTGATTTCATCCAAGATTTTATCCTCCATCATAAAATGCTTTGCTCTTTCTTAGAGTGACTTCAGTGCTTTCGCTTGAGGCATTTCCCCATTTGCCTGGGCTGTGACCTGGAGCCTGAGCCAAATGCTCCTTTCGAGGACACGGAGCCAATAGGTTTGCCTGGAGCAAGGAAGGGCGTCTCCATGGAAGAGGCATATAAAATCCAGTCCCACAATCCTGTCACATGGGAGTGTGACCAAGAGACAGAACTGGGATCAGAACTGCCTGTTCCTCTGCATAGCCTAGATTTTCAACAGCCCCATTAGACTCTATAGGGCAAAATAAATGAGATATGATGGGGGGCACAGCTGCAAGACAACTCCTGCTCCAGACACTTAGGTCCCCGAGTGCAAAAGGCAAGCTGAACCCTGATTCCAGTTGGGACCCCAAGGGCTTATATCGCTGTCATTGATCAGTGACAGTGGCGGACATTCATGGAATAAATTAAAAATATACATTTTGGGTCTTTTGTTGTTGTTGTTCAGTCGCACAGTTGAGTCCGACTCTTTGCGACCCCATGGACCAGATCACGCCAGGCCTTCCGGTCTTCTGCCATCCTCTGAAGTTTGCTCAACTTCATGTTCGTTGCATCTATGACACTGTCTAACCATCTCATCCTTTGCCGTCCCCGTCTTCTTTGACCTTCAGTCTTTCCCAGCATCAGGGTCTTCTCCAGTGAGGGCTCCCTTCTCATTTGGTGGCCAAAGTATTTGAGCTTCAGTTTCATTATCTGGCCTTCCAGGGAACAGTCAGGGGTGATTTCTTTTAGGATTGACTGATTTGATCTCCTTGCAGTCCAAGGGACTCTCAGGAGTCTTCTCCCATAGTTCTAATTTACTGTTGTTATCCTT